CTGGCATTCAAGGCAAGGCAATGGTGAAAAGTTATTAATTCTATTCCTTTTCCTTTCCAGCACTGCCAGCCGCTTAGCCTGGGGATTGTGGGAGTAACGTGTCACTCAGGTGCTTTAGGGTTTTTAATTTCTACAAATCTGGACTCACTATTCCAAGCTAAGCTACGTGTTGAAGTCTTGGATCGGTGTAAACATTTTCTGAATGGGTTATATCCCTCCTGCCCTGCTCCTTCCCACTTTAGCAATATGTAATTTGTGAGTTTTTTTTTTTTTGTTTGTTTGTTTAGTTTTGTTTTGTTTTGAGATGGAGTCTCCCTCTGTCACTCAGGCTAGAGTGCAGTAGTGCAATCTTGGCTCGCTGCAACCTCCACCTCCTGGGTTCAAATGATTTCTCCTGCCTCAGCCTCCTGAGTAGCTGGGATTACAGGTGCATGCCACCACGTCTGGCTAATTTTTTGTATTTTTAGTACAGATAGGGTTTCATCATGTTGGTGAGGCTGGTCTTGAACTCCTGACCTTGTGATCCGCCTGCCTCGGCCTCTCGAAGCGCTGGGATTACAGGCATGAGCTACTGTGCGCGGCTATAATTTGTGAGTTTTAAACTGATACACGAGAAGTGACGGTTTATATTTTGCAAAAATGATTCATAATCCCAGGTGTGAGCCACCTCACAGCGCTGGTGCGATCTCAGGTAGCAAGTGGTCACTGAGGCCATGCTCATTTGCAAATCACTGAAGCCTGGGCTCGGGGGCTGGACATGCTCCCATGGACTATTCAGGCCAAAGTTCTGAGATGAAGTGGCGATTACTGATTCAGCAGGAGTCAAGTCAAAGCATAAATAACCCAGGCAGAAAAGGACATAAGGAGAGGGCTGGTCCCTTTATGACGATCACTGAGAACACTTCGATGTGTAATGTGCTCATTAGAGTGCTGGGTAGACACTACTTATGCCCCGATAGTGATGGTATTTGTCAAGCAGTACAGAAACTGAATAAAGCCTCAGGCTGTTTAATTCTTAACTGCCCCCTTGGCTGCTGACAATAAATAAAGCAAATGAGAAGAAAATGGTAATAAACTATTTTTTTCCTGCTTATCTTCAGCCCTCTGTGATTAAAGAGGACAAACTTAGACCGCAACCCCATCAACAACTTTATCATTAATCAGGCTTTTCAATAACAATGTCTATTTCCTTTGCTGGGTCTCTGGGATTCCTGAAGCTGGAGGGGCTGTGGATAAAACTGGTAGAGCCCTCATTACCCTTTCTGAGCTGAGTCGCAGCCTGGGAATACTTTAAATTTGCTTTGAGGAGTCAGAGACCTCTTGTAAAGCACCCTCGGAAACAGATCCTGGCTTCCTTTCCGCCCAGCCCCTTTTGCTTGTTAGCATATGCAAATGTGACTCTTAATGAAAGCAAGGTTTGTTTTCTGGACTCAAGGACTGAACATTCAAGTGGGATCAAGAGGGGGACTTGGCTTTTTGTGCCTTCATGAACAGCAGGGTTCCTAGGGGGCCTGTAATTCAGAGCCAAATTTTACTGTCAAAATTTTAAAGACGGGGAAATTAACTTGAGCAGGCAACTGCGTTTCCCCTGCTGTTGACTCACTGATGGTGACTGTGTATGAACTGCCTTTCTGTGTTTCTACACGGAGGTATTTGGCCTAGGAGGAATGCTTTGATGGGGTGGGCGTGGGGGGAACTAAATAAATAATAAACAAACCACTCTTTTGATGTCAATCAAGTCTTAACACCACTGAGAAATAATAATCAAAATAATGATCTAAAGCTTTGTATCTCTCAATGCCTACAAGACCATTTCAGTATTGAGGAAATATAATGAAAGACACATAAAGGAGAGCTCATCCACGGCCTCCCATCCTAAAGGCAAAGTCCTTGGTCTGGAGATGACCTTCATGTTTGCAGTGTTACAATAGATAGCTGGTCAGACATGAGAGGGGCAGGAGAGGGCTCCCTCCACCCACCAGGAATGCCAGGTGACCATCAGGTGATGGTCAGGCAGCTGTTAACTGTCTCTCTAAAATAATAATTGGTTGCAGCCAGCCCCAAGGAAAGGCAGTCTCCCAACAAACAGAAACACCTGAACCTGGTGAGCGGCAGCTTCCCGATAAGATCTCAGGAGCTGGGTGGGTGAGCTCGAGCACATGTATTAAGAGGCAACATGGCAGAGTTTAACTGGTTTACCACCTTCTAGGGACATCTGACTGGTAAGGGAAGAAGGCCTCAGGTGAGCACACGTAGAACTCCAGTAAACACGCTGCACATGTCGCCCCTCCCAAGTGCTAGCAGGCCACTGCACACGCAGACAGCCCAACCCAAGGGAAGGGTCAGGCGCGAAGAGACATAAGACCCCGGGAGAAGGCCAATGCATAAAACCCCAAGTCAGAAGTCAAGAGTGCCCTTGATCCCTCCAGCTGCCGGCTCGGATGTCTTCCGAGTGCCCTTACTTCCTTTTGTTCCTGCTCAAAAGTTTTTTTTTTTTTTTTTCTGAGACAGAGTTTTTTCTGTTGCCTGGGCTAGAGAGCAATCTCGGATATGCCACCGCTAGCAACAGTACCCAGAGCCTCGTCCTCTCTGACCTCAGGCCTCCTACTCCCTCCCTCTCTAGCTCAACTCTGCTCTAGCCCCACTGGCAGCTTCCATTTCTTAAACATGGCTGCACACTCTACGACCTTAGGGTCTTTGCACTGGCTGCTCCCTCTGCCTGGAACACTCTTTCCTCAGATATGCACACAGACATCCCCATATATCCTTTAGGTCTTAACCTTATCTTCTATGTGAGGTCCTCTCTGGCCATCCTAGCTAAAATTTCAACACTACCTTCTTTCCTGCTTTATGACTTTTCTTCCTAGCTTACCTCTGCCGTGTTATATATTTTCATATGTAACCATCTGCTGTCTCTCTTCCTCTAAGCTGTAAGCTTCATGACAGTAAGGATTTTCATCTGTTTTGTTCACCCTTACGGCCGTGCACATCATAAGCATTCAATGAATAAATACATGGTGAGTGAATAAATAAGCCAGTCAATGGACGTAACATGTGGGAAGGGAAGACTTTTTTCCCCAGAAACGAAGATGTCTTTGGGAATGGCTCTGCTGCAGAGCATGAATGGCTCTTTCCACTGTTTCTTACTAAGGCTTCTGGCCACGAGAGTCACAGATCTTGGCACTAGCACATGCGTGCTGGGAATTATAAAAAGCTGCCCGGGATCATGTTTAGTAGAAGGCAGAGATGTGCTGGGTGATTACGAAGCCCACTTCCCCTGCTGAGCTCCCAGATATGCTATACTTCCTGCTTCTCTGTGTCCCAGTGGGGCCAAGTGGCCCGTGAAACCTAGGCAGAAGTGATACATGCGACTTCTAGGCCTGGCTCCTAAGGCATCCTATGTGACTGTCCTCACGCTCTCGGATGAAAGGAGGAGGAATGAGTGGAGAAATCTGAGGCCCTAAAAGATGGTAGGGCCAATGGATGCGAGAAACCTGGGTCCTTGAATGACCCTGGGGGTCACTGCCCTAGCCCACATAGGACTTTGCCAAGGATGTATCCCCCGTGGGGGTGGGGCACTGACCCACAGAGTCATTTAAGGACTCAGGTTTCTCGAATCCATCAGCCCCACCATCTTTCTTTCTTTTTTTTTGTTTTTTGAGACAGAGTCTTGCTCTGTTGCCCAGGCTGGAGTGCAATGGTATGATCTCGGCTCACTGCAACCTTTGCCTCCTGGGTTCTAACAATTCTCCTGCCTCAGCCCCTCAAGTAGCTGGGATTACAGGCATGTGCCACCAGGCTCAGTTAATTTTTATATTTTTAGTAGAGACAGAGTTTCACCATGTTGGCCAGGCTGGTCTCAAACTCCTGACCTCCAGTGATCCACCTGCCTCAGCCTCCCAAAGTGCTGGGATTACAGGCATGAGCTGCCATGCCCGGCCCAGCCCCACCACCTTTTAGGGCCTTAGATTTCTCCACTAATTCCTCCTAATTTCACCAAGAGCATGAGGACAGTCACGTAGGATGTCTTAGGGGCCAGGCCTAGAGTTGGCAGCTAGTATGACTCATCCTGATGACACAGATATTAAGGCCATTATATTAGAAAGTGCCATGTTAGGCAATAAGGCACATGGTTATCTGGTACATGTCACATCCTAAGAGAAAGCTAATTTACCTTCCTTAACTGGAAGTTCAGCCTCACTGGGCTTCTGTGAAAATTAGCAATGAATTGCCAAAGGTGAGATAAGCGGAGATGGCGAGGAACTATAAAAACACTTCTTCAAGGTCACTGTCTTCCTTAAATACTACTACTAATTACACACATGGACAGCAGCTGGGGCAATCTTTGGAGACAAACCGGCAGCAAACCATAACCCAAATCCAGTTTTACGACACTGAAAACTCAGAGGCCACTGCTGTCATCAACATGCACATTTCTTTTTTCTTTTTTGAGACTGTCTTTCTGTCACCCAGGCTGGAGTGCAATGGCAGGGTCTCAGCTCACTGCAGCCTCTACCTCCTGGGTCCGAGCAATTCTCGTGCCTCAGTGGCCCAAGTAGCTGTGCTGATAGATGTGCATCACCACGCCTGGCTAATGTTTGTATTTTTTAGTAGAGATGGGGTTTCGTCATGTTGGCCAGGCTGGTTTCAAACTCCTAACCTCAGGTGATCCGCCTGCCTCAGCTTCCGAAAGTGCTGTGTTTACAGTTGTGAGCCACCACACCTGGCCAACATGCACATTTCATCATGTGAAACCAACATTGTCTACACTCCAGGTTGTAGCTTTCAATTTGGAGTTTCTATGACTAGAGATAATTTCTGTGCAGACGGAACATAAGCCACTTTGAAGGAGGAGTTTCTCCCTCTTTCGCCTGGGTCAGGGAAGTCACGCCAACACCAGCCACACGAAAACATCAGGGCCTGCTCTTGAGGCCCAACCAGTGCTGAAGTATTCACATAACACAGCAGTAAACAAACATGAAAATGTGGCAAAACATTACCTGCCCGGCAAGCATTTCATACAACAGGACACCATAGGCCCACCAGTCCACAGATTTTCCATATGGCTGATAAGCGATTATCTGTGTGAAAACAAACACATCAATTACATTTAGTGGTACGTCCAATAGCCCCTGTCAGAACAGGTAAGTCAAGCAAGTTGGCATTTATTCACTCAGGTCATGCCGATGAGGTGGTGTTACACCAAGGGAAGAGGACCCACCCTTCAAGTCAGACACACGGAGACTATTACCCTGTGATTCACTGCCTACGGCTGGTTTTGGGACTCCTATTCTGAATCCACCTGGAGATGCCACTGCACTCTCTGAAGGTAAGTTTAATTATCCTAACTAGTGGAAAATATGTGGACACTGAAGTGGGCATAATTTTTAGAAAAATTATTACCCAGAGGCTGGGTGCAGTAACTCACATCTCTCATCCCCGCAACTTAGGAGGCTGAGGCAGGAAGACCGCTTGAGCCCAGGAGTTTGAAACCAGCTTGGGCAACATAGTAAGATCCTGTCTCTATCTTTTGAAAAAAATTTTAATAATAAAATTAAAAAGTAAGAAAAAGCCAGAGGTCATTCAGAGTTAAGAGTCTGACACATAAGATGATCAAACTATATTAACAGGGCTTTATTAAGAGTATAATAGTAAGCATGATGATAAGGAAAAATTCTAGTTTCCTTGTGTTGCACACAGAAGTGCAATGATATGCAGTCTGTTGAACAATGGAAGTTTTAAAATATTTTGAAAAAGACGTAAAATGTCGTAAACAAATATGTGGAGCTGACTGCAACAAAGAAAATTTGAAACAGCTGAGAAAAATTAAGATACCATCTGGATGTTAGATGATACTGAGGGCTTGCCACTCATTTTGTTAGGTGGCATAATGGTAGGCTGACTAGTTAGAAAGTGTGTATTTTAGTTGAGTGTGGTGGTGTGAGTCTGGAGTCCCAGTTACTTGGGAGGCTGAAGCAGGAGGATCGCATGAGCCCAGGAGTTTGAGGCTAGCCTGGGTGATATAGCAAGACCCTGTCTCTCTTAAAAAGTAAGATTAAAACATTTTTTAAAAGTGTGCTTATCAGTTAGAAATGAGTATATTTGTGGGTGAAATACATAAGAAAGTATTTATGGGTGAACTGACATGATATTTTAAATTAAAAAAACAAACAAACAATAAATGAAGTGGGAGGAAACCAGATGAAATGAGTTGGCAAATGCAGGAAATTGTTGAAATTGGGTGATGGGTCCACAGGGAGCTCATTCTATGCTTCCTTCTGCCTTTGTGGCTATCAGAAGTATTGGAATAATTCTATAACCTCCCTTCGTGGGAGGGAGGAATACAGATTTGCATTTCTAAGTATGGCAGGGCTTATTAAAACACTGGCTTCATTACCTCTCAGGTATGCTGTGCACCTGCTGCACGCAATTCCGAAACCCATGGATCACACGCCAGGATTCAAGGTCAAGACACACTAACAGGAACTCAGCACAACCATTCTGCCACTTTACTTACAATTTTTACTTTGAAATGTTCTAGGATTTTTTTTTTAACGGCCCAGAATGTCTAATTAAATGTCCTGGGACACAAAACTTTCTGCATGTCCACCCAGTTTCATTTCTTTAATGTATTACTAATATTTTTGCATGTAGAATGAGAACCACAAGCATCAACAGTGTGCCTAACAAGGTCAGGTTTGGCACCATTGTAGCTCATTTCCTTGACAAGAAAATGGTAAACATAGGAACCTACAAGAAGTCTCTAATTGCTTTTCCACCTCTGTTCTCTTCTGCTACATTCTTTTCTGAAAACTTGGGAAATACACATATAAAAAACCCCAATAAATGAGGCTCCAGTCTATTTTTAGTAGAGATGGGGTTTCAGCATGTTGGCCAGGCTGGTCTCAAACTTCTGACCTCAGGTGATCCGCCCGCTTCAGCCTCCCAAAGTGCTGGGATTACAGGCATGAGCCACTGTGCCCAATCTTTTCTAGTTCTTTTATAGTTTTACTTCTTACATCTAGTACTTTATTCAACTTAAACATTATTTTGGAATGTGACATAGGAAAACTTAGAATGTTCTCCATTATGTTAATGTCTTATCCCAGCATAATTTAATGAATAATTCATCCTTTCTTAACCTGTTTGAAAAAATCGCTTTTATCACATACGAAATCATCAGCTCAGACCTCTTCATTTTTCAGGGTAATACACCCACAGAGCCATCCATTAGCAAGGACGCCTTTCCTGGGTTCAGAAAGAAAGTTGTTTGTCTTGCTTCACCTTTCTATAGGATTGGATATTCTCTTTTATAGCACTTACTGGAATTGCAATGAAATGCTTATTTGACTAATGGTCCTACTCTGATGGAGTAAAAATTTCCTGAAGGTAGAATCAGTGTTCACCCTGAAAGCCCTAGCACCTAGTAAAATGCCTGATACAGAAACACAGTTCCAGAAAACATTACTGAGTAGTTAGCAGATACGAAGCACATAAGAGGTGCTTAGTAGACTCTGCCTCCTTTGATTTTCCAATAGCCATATTAGGTAGATGCTATTAAGTATCTACTCTATTTTACAGATGAAAAAAACCGAAGTCAAAAAAGACTAAGAAACCTGTTTGAGGTTTGCCCAGTTAGTAAGTGGCAGAGCAAGAGTTTAAATTGGGGACTTCTTGCTTTAGAATCTGGTTTGTTTTTTGTTTTTTTGAGACAGAGTCTTGCTCTGTCACCAGGCACCAGGCTGGAGTGCAGTGGTGCAATCTCGGCTCACTGCAGCCTTTGTCTCCTGGGTTTAAGTGATTCTCCTGCCTCAGCTTCCTGAGTAGCTGGGATTACAGGCACCCACCACCGCGCCACGTCCAGATAAATGTTTGTATTTTTAGTGGAGATGGGGTTTCATCATGTTGACTGGGCTGGTCTCAAACTCCTGACCTCAGGTGATCTGCCTACCTCAGCCTCCCTAAGTGCTGGGATTACAGGTGTGAGCCACCACGCCCGGCCAATAAACACCTTCAAATGTTTCACCCTGGGTTCTCTCTCCTAGTATTTAGTAAACAGTTTAAGTTTAGGTTAATCTTCCCAGACACGTGCCTCTTCATTTTCATCTAAGCCAGCCCAGTCTTTGGCAAGGAACTCCTCAAACTCATGGTCTTCCACTAAGAGACTGAAGTCTACTGGCTACATTTTCTCTGACATTGAGACCCTTCACACCCAGTACCTCCCAGATCAGTAGGAAAGCTGCAACACTCACTCTTCCTCAACACAGCTGCCCCCATTGCTACTGCTGCCATAGCAGACACTACCACAGAGCTAGCAACATTTAAACACATAATTCTACCTAGACCAGAAAGAAGGTGCTATGTTAATTTTAGGACTATCTTTAAGTCTTTGTAGGGTCAGTCAGGTGGTGCTGCTGATCTTGGCTGAGTGTTCACACATCTGGGAGTCAGCTAAATGATGGCTGATCTAGGCTAGCGCCATTGTAACCAGTGGGCAATTCTGTTTCTGTTTTGTGTTTTCGAAGTTAGAACAGAAAACAGAGCACTGCTATACCGCGTAAACACAGATTGACTATATAATTTCCCAATTGCCTAGATTAAAAAATTGTGAAAAACTTAAAATTAGTGTCTGAACAAAGGTTTACATGGAAGCTTCCCTACTCCAGCATTCTACTTTTAAACATCCTATGACCTCCTATGGGAGACACTGCCATAGTAAGTTTAATGACTATTTGTTGAATGAATGATGAATAAATAAATGGATAAGTGAATGGATGCGTGAATGAACAAATGAACTTGCACATACTTGGATCTGTTTCTTGTCTTTCCATCTGTTTCTCTAGTGGCATTCTCTATTTCCTGCATCTAAACGGCAGAAGCTGTGCCAACTAGAAATGTATAAATCTGAGAGGAACTGTCAAGTACTCCCAAGAAAGGAAGCATTCCACCCATGGGAAACTCTGCTTATCTAGAAAAACCCAGAGGATAATTAAACGAGTGAATGTAAATGGATTTTGCTTAAAAACTGTAGGGTGGTATGCAAACATTAAGCACTACTAAAATTTTGATCAAATGATAAGTCTCTTCCATTTATCATAGTGGGAAAACTTTAATTAGTCAAACTAGAAAATATCGTTTTAAAATATACTTGAATCAAAGGATTAACGAGCCCCACGATTTTCTCTGAAAACGATCACAAGTCCCAATGTCTTGGATTAGGGCTGTTCTCTAAAATAATTTTCTAAGAAAATGTGACAAGGTTCCACACACATAATTGTTGTCTCACACACCTTGTCCCTATCAACAGAGTCTTTGTAGAGCTGCGAATTATAAAATTAAAGAAAAACACACTCTGTGATGCTAGGTGGGAAATGTGGCTTTTCCCAAACAAAATTTGCGAGGAAGAAAAAGCTGTACAGCAGGCCATATTGTTTTCCAGATGCTCCCGAGGAGGGTAGAATGCTGAAGGAGAAATTCATAGGAAAAAATTAACATATTTGTAACTCAGTGGCTAGCTATTGATGTACTTCTCTAATAATTAAATCCAAAGCAAAGTATTAAACACAGGAAAATTAAGATGATTCATATTGGTGATTTGAAAATGTTATTTTATGTATGTATGTATGTATGTATGTATTTATTTATTTCGGAGACAGGGTCTTGCTCTGTTGCCCAGGCTGGAGTGCAGTGGCATGATCACAGCTCACTGCAGCCTCAACTCCTGGACTCAAGCAATCCCCCCACCCAGCTTCCTAAGTAGCTGGGACCATAGGCATGCACCACCACACCCAGCTAATTTTTAAAGAATTTTTTGAGAGAGACAGGGTTTTGCTTTGTTGCATAGGCTGGACCCTAACTCCTGGGTTGAAGTGATCCTCCTGCCTCAGCCTCCCAAAGTGTTGTGATTTACAGGTATGAGCCACCATACCCGGCCAGGAGATGCCTATTTTAACTGAAGTGAGTTGTCCTTTCCACAGTCCTTCAGTCTAAAAGATCAAGAGCTGATTTACACACTGGATACTCATTTCAAACTAACAAAAACAAAGCCATTTCCTTGAGCATAGTGGCAGCATCAACTCCG